TTTAATGAACAACTTCATACAATAATCTCACAAATTTAAACCAAAAATCAAGACTAAGAAATACATACAGCATGATTCTATGTGTATAAATTTCAAAAATTAGAAAAATTAAATTGCATTGTTTTATGGGGGTTTTTTTGTTTATTTGGTGGAACTGGTATTTGAACTTAGGGCTTCACACTTGCAAAGCAAATTACTGCTTGAGCCATACCTCCAAGCCTATTTTGGTCTGGTTATTTTGGAGATGGGGGTCTCAAGAACTATTTGCCCAGGCTAGCCTCCAACGGCTATCCTCCTGATCTCAGCCTCCCAAGTAGCTAGGGTTTTTTTTTTTTGCTGTTTTTTTTGTTTTTTGTTTTTTAGGCAGTTCTGGGGTTTGAACTCAGGGCCTTGTGCTTTCAAGGCAGGTACTCTACCATTTGAGCCACTCCATCTGCCTTCCCAAGTAGCTAGGATGACAGGCATGAGCCACTGGCACTCGGCTACACTGTATTTATTATTTAAAGACATATTTGTAGGTATGAAAATATAGAGAAAAGGCAGGAAATTATAAGAGTAGTGATGAACTCTAGGGAACTAGTAGATTATCATCAGCAGAAGCACATGGAAGACTTCAGGGTACAAAGGATACTCCTTTCCCCTTCCCTGTTCCCCCTTCTGTCCCTTTTCTCTTTCGATGCTGGGCATTGAACCTAGGGATTCGCACATGCTAGGCAAGTGCTCTACCACAGAGCTACATCCTAGCCCTAAAAAAGTCTTATAAAACTTTCTCAAAGATCCCTTTATAGATGATATATCTAGAAATAAGTTTCATTGCAAATCTTACGTTATATATTTTATAGCACAAAAAGAAGTTTGAGATTTATTAATATTATAATAATTTAGATAAAACTTTCCTTCAAATAAAACCAGGATATAATTGAATATATGCATTTCAATTGCACTATTCAGTAGTGCCAACCAGCACAGATACTCACAAGCATCTTCATGATCAAGCTCCTAGGTTGAACTTGTAAGAAATTTCTATTATCTAACAAACACTCCCAGGAAACTACATTAAAATTTTTATACTTTAAAACTATAGTTTCATATTGCACCAACAAACTAGCATTTATTTCAGCTAATGGTAAGTAGGTCTAAGCATGAAGTAAACAGATCTTCCTTCAAAATGAAATTTTTGGCTTTTATGGAAAAAAATCCACATTAATTTTATTCTAAGAAATACAATTAGGGCCTTTCTTAGATTTTCACAATGAAATGAAAGTAACTGGTGACCATAAATTTTCCTGATGACTTAACATTTTCCTGATAAAGTTTAAAAAGAAAAAAAACTTTAGTACTAATAAGAGGCAGTGTTTCCTAAAAACTTTCCTAGTTTGGAACTGCACTAAGCAAGTCTGAGGCAGTGTTACTAAAGAGCTCTTCTAACTCTCTAAAAGCAGCACTTCTTCAATATCATTAACAAGGGAATAATTTTGGCTCATGTATTTTATGATCTGAATCATCTCTTCTTCCCCCCAGTCCTGTTTTGAAGCCCTAGCTTCCTATGTGTCTGTATTTTAAGACAGAGTCTCTAAGGAGGTAATTAAGGTTAAATGAGGTCACAAAGGTGAAACCCTAATCCAAAAGGACTGGTGTCCTTATAAAAAAAAGGAAGAGACACCAGAAGTAGACATACGTGCACACTGCTTATTTTAATAAAAAGAGATTCTGTATGTCAAGGTTTAGATGTTAGTAAATTCCTTCATCTTCTTTGGTTCTATTAGTTACCTTAGCTACCACAACAAAATACCATAGAGCAGGGGCTTAAACAACAGACAGTATCTTCTCTCAGCTCTGGAGGCCCAAGTTCCAGATCAAGGCACCAGCCAATTCAGTTTCTGACGAAGGCTCTCTTCCTGGCTTGCAGATGGCTACCTGTTCCTGTGTCCTCACATGGCCTTTCCTTGGTGCCTGTGTGAGTGGAGAGAAAGAACAAGCTCTCTGGTTTCTCTTAAGGGCCCTGCCCTTAAGACCTCAGTTAACCTTAATTACTTTCTTAGAGGTCCCATCTCCAAATATAGCCACACTTCAGGTTATGTTTCAACATATGGACATCAGAGAACACAAACACTGATCTCTAAACACAGCAACAGGCCTCCATAGACTATCCTTTGATAAACTGGTAGCACTCCCGACCATAGCAAGAGAGAGAGAAATAAAATCTGTTAAGTACATAAGCATTCAGATAAAATGCTTTTACAGGTTTGGGGTTTGTTTGTTTGTTTTTTGAGACAGGGTCTGCCTATGTAGCCCCGGTTAGCCTCAAACTTGAGATCCTCCTGCCTCTACCTCACAAGTGCACCATCATGCCAGGCTCATTTTCTTTTTCCCAATGATTCATACCATGCAGCACCATTCAAGTGCTACTTAGGACCCGGCGGAAAAAAACAAACTTAAAATATAGGAATGATTCTGTGAGGAATCCTATGTCTAGGAGATTGGGCAGGAATCAATAAAAGAGTCCTTAATCACCTGAAAACTGGCAGGTAATATAGGAACAGACTGGGTGCTACTGGGTGGTCTTCCAGGAAAATAATACTTCAAATACAGAACTTTCCAGCTGAGAGATATGCAAACTGCTTTCCTTTCAATTTAGCTAACATATGGCCATGCAGTAGTCTCAGCTATGATCTGTGCTTTACTACATTCCTTGAAAGATCTACTACAGATTATACCCGTACATCTAAAAGATAGGTGCCCTAAAAGAGAAACACAAAATGAACATTCCCAATTGAAATATACTCCCAAGACAACACACTGCAGGAGAAAAGACTTCTTAGATTTTATCAAAATGATACCACCCACAAAGCTACTAAACTAAATGAGGAAATACTAGGTAACTACTTTTTAAATTACTGTGGTTTCTCTATCATCTTTCATCACATCCTCAAGTCAACTACCACATTAATCTTCCCAGAACTCCATCACTCCACTATTAAAAATCATTCTTCTGATCTGTGACTCAAGTACAAACTCCTCTGCCTTGCATTCAAGCGAGTGCAGTCAGCAACCCTATCTACAGGGTTCCACAACCAGAATTCGATCAATAGTGGGTCAAGCATACTTTTTTTAGGAAAAAAAAAAGTGTCTGCACTGAACATGTCCAGGCTTTTTTCCTTGTCATTATTCCCTGATCAATCTAGTATAACAACTATTTACATAGCATTTACATTGTATTAGCTATTGTAAGTAATCTAAAGATGATTTAAAGTACAAAGGAGGTTACATGCAGATACTATATGCTTTCCTATGTGAGCCCTGAGCACCCACAGATTTCAATGGGGGAGAGGGTAGTCTGCTGGAACCAATTCCCCCCTGGGTACTGAGGGACAACTCCATCTCCATAATCAAATCCCAGTATATTCAACCTAATCTTTACTTCCAAAAAGTTTCACATGCCCCAAATCCAAAGCTCACCTACGCCTTGCCTACCAAGTTCTTCTACCTTTCTCCTCTCCATTTGCCATCCAAAGCTTTTCCATTCTTCATGCTACCTCCTTCATAGAACATTCTCTGATGACATCACAAACACTGATTTTTCATATGCATAAAGAATCTATTATTGTTCCAGAAGCTCAGCTAGCTACCTCCTCCTAACTTTTTTTGTCCACTGTTGTCCATGACTGAGACTTAGTAGTCTATTACTTACTGTCCTAGTTTACCAGAGGGCTGTCTTACTATATTTGCGGTTTATTTACTAGTTAGTTCTTGTGCGCAATCATAATTTAACTGTAGGTGACTGACTTTATACCCCCTCCCTCTCCCAAGCACACAACTAAGGGCAAAACTTTCACCTTCATATTAATTGGTGTTAAATATGATTTTCATTTATGTACCTTGTGAATTACTTGCACTTTTGTGTCTTTCTTGGATAAAAGAAAAGCGAGAAGAGCTTGACATCCTTGGGGTATTTTTTCATTGCCTGACAACCTCATTAGGCGGACTAACATTTACAAGTGCCTACTAGGTGTCAGATCTATTATGGTAGGCATTCATATTAGGTAGGTACTCATAGTTGCTCCCCAGCACCAGTAATTTGTTTATGTCCATAACTAAAAGCCAGTAAATATATGTGCGAAATAATTAATGTAGCCTCCTTGCCTTCAAACGGCTTCTATTTTAATAGGATGGGGGTTAGGGGGATGCAGGTGCTAAGTAAATGAGCAAGGTAAATTCGGTGCATTGGTGCTATGGAGAAAACAGGATATACTACTACAAAGTGAGCAGTTGTTAGCAAATTTGGAGACATTTTATCAGTAGGGTTCAGCGATCCATCAGCATGGCTATGGTTAGAGACCATTCCCGGTCTCACCATCTTGTCTCCCTCCCTCCCCTATAGGACCAAGGGCTTAACCTCCTGGCCTCGACCTTCCCACCCACTAATGCCAAAGACTAAAGCGTTGATAGTCAAGTGCTTGGTGCCGCGCCAGGCAACCCCAAAAGCGTCCTGGGAACGGCGAACCCTGGTTACGGTTGGTCAGATTAACTCACCAGCGCAAAGGGCAGTGAGAGCCTCGGTCCCCTCCGCCCGGACCCGCGCTTTCTGCCGGGGCAGGTGGCCAAGCTGGGCTGAGCTGGCAAAGTTTTCACCTTGACTTGGGGTCCACGACCAAAGGGTCACCAGTGCACGACAGCCGGGGGCACAGGGCAGGGCTCCCGGGCTGGTGGGCGGTGCCCTAGTCAGTGGGAGGACAGAGGGCTCCGCCGCTCGCTAGCCCGCGGCGCATGGGGGATGGGCGGCTCCCGGCGCCCCCCGCAACGGCCGCCGCCGAGCGCGCGACGCTCTCCGGGGCGCGGGGCCGCGGCGAGCTGGCGAAGCGAAGCGAAGGCGGGAGGGGCGCCGGGGCACACGGCGGGGGCGGCACATGCGCACCGGCGGCGGCCGGCACGCGGCGCTCGCGCTCCCTGCTTAAATGAGCCTGGGCTCCCCGCGCCCGCCACTTGAGCGGAGCCCCGCCGAGGCTGCGGGCTGAGCGGACCGGGCCCCTGGAGCAGGCGGCACGCCCGTCGGGGGACTAGGGCAGCGCGGGGGCGCGCCGCGGAGGCCGGGCATGGCTGGCCGCCAGACCTGAGCCCGACTCCGCGGAGAGACAGACCGCGGCCGGTGATGGGAACGGAGCCGTGAGCGCCGCGCCGCCGCCGCCGCCGCCGCCTCGGCCCCGCGCGAAGCTTCGGCCGCCCAGGAACATGGCCCTGGAGCAGCTCTGCTCGGTCCTCAAAGGTAAGCTTGGGGCCGCGGACGGCGCCCCCTGCGGGCCGAGGCCGGCGCTCAGCCGCGTGAACCGGCCAGCGTCTTCGCGTCCCTTCCCCGCGCTCTGCACTGGGAAGTGCGCCTTTGTCCGAGCCGGATCGCGTTGCTGTCGCGTCCCGTTCGGGTGGCCTGGCTCTCAGGCGGTGCTCCGCTAGCCCTGGCGCGTCCGGCCGACTCCTGCGGGGACCTGGCGGGAGGAAGGTGGGACGCCATCGGAAAGCGGCAGTGCGGGAGGGCCCCGGTGGGGCTGCGCCCGTTACCCTTGCCGCTCCCGAAGAATCCCGCTCATCGCTTTGCAAAGTTGCGGGATTCGAGGGCTGACCGAAGGCCGGTCTTTCTCCGGACGCGATGACGGAAAGTAATTGCACGCAAACGATGAAAGCCCCCACCGAGACGTCGTGGAACGATTTTCGAAGAGCCTCGCGGTGGCGGCCGGCGGAACGGGCCTTCCCAGCCGGCCAGATCCCACCTGCTGCGACCGTGGAGGCTGCGGCAACACTGCGGGCTCCGGGGGCGGCGCGCGGGCGCCGCGGACCCGGCTCGGTACGGCCCAGGCAGCGCAGCGGCGGAGGCCCCGGGACGCGCGGTTCCCGCCGCTTCCCCGCGCTCCCTACCTAAGATGTCAGAATGCGCGGCCGCTGCCCGGGGATTTTTATTTGTTGTGCGGAGAATCTAGTCGGCTGGCAGAGGCTGCGGAGCCCTCACACACCAGAGCCTGGTAGTTCCCAGGAGGTGTTCTTTTAGATGAAACTGTATATACATAGAGAATTTAGATTGCAATACAAAGTTGCTTTTGAAATTCTCATTTAATAGGCCCTTTTGTCAATGTTCTGAGAAAACAGCACCACCACTCAATAAAGGATTTCCTTTTTCGCTACAGATTTAATTGAAAACTGAATAGCTGAATACTTGTAATGTTAGAAAATGTCTCTTGTATGTTGAGAGGGAAATTAAAAATTCTATTAACGTTTGCATGGATAGCTATAATCACTCTTAGTAGTTGTGCAGTAACAAATTTTAGTGTTTTCCTACTTCATATTAACACCTTTTTAATATCTGTTTTATTAAAAACTTCCGTGTAATTTTACTTTTAATTTCAATTGGACAGGTTACATTTTGGGCAAATGTGTTTTTTAGTTGTGTTTCTATAAATTCTTAAGTAATTCCTTTGTTATATAGGACTAAATTCTGTAGTTATCTGTAACTCATGATTTATGTAGTCAATCCTTAGAATTAGGATTTTGCTTTACAGTCGTAATAAACCACAATAGGATTTCCAATAGTGCTGCTTAGCCGAATTTTCTTCCGCTGCTCGGGCTGTGCATCCATGTTAGGGTTCTCAGCATCGTGACGGCCCCTCAAGAGTGGCCGCCACCGCCTGCACCCCTCAGAAGTCATATGGATATGTTTTTACACAGCTTTCGGGCAGAACTTGACCACGGCAGTCCCTCAGCTGTGGCGAGGAAGTCCCGGCTCCTGCCTTTGCACCTGGTCCACACTGCCCTCTGCGGCCTACGGCAGGAGTTGCCGTGCCGCACCTTTCAGGAAAGCAGTGAGCGGCGGGCTAAATGTTTGGCTTTTCTTTTTAATGCACTCAACCTACACTGTTTTTACATGCGCGAGTATTTTTAAAGCTCAAGCTGAATTGTTTTTGCTGTTTTTGTGGTAGGTTTCCTAGTAAGCAAGCTATTTTTAAGTTTTCTGTTGTATGTGCTTGTAAATGCCAGAAGTTGATCTGCAAAAATTCTAAAAATTGTTAACAAAAGTTGATCTGACAAGGGAATCTGGGGGACAGACAACAGGGAAGGTAGGATTTGGGCTTTACCGCACACCCCTTGATATGAGTTAATATTTTTTAACCAGATACATGTATTATCTATATAAAATTACTGTTTTCAATTTTAAAGTTAACTATTAAAAAACTGGCCTTTCCCAGTGCTACTATTCACTGTGTCCCAAGGCATGAAAAGCATTCCTGAAGTATTCTACAAGGTAAATTGCTTCAGCATCAAGAGCTTATCCGAAACAGCTATTTAATATCTGCATACTTATTGGTACTACCTCCTAAAAGTCTTATTTGAAATATTAAGATCACTTTCCACTAAAACAGCCAAAAATGGGTGTGTGAGATTTTAAATGTAAAGTAATTTTGGTTTTTTAAGGTGCCACTGATTGTTTTTGTTTTACTTTCAGCAGCAGCTTAAATCTTACACTACAGTACTTTTAGCCGTTAATATTACCACTCCAGCTCTTACAAAATTTGAGTTAAACTTCTGAATCAGCTGAGCATTATACTCCCATGAAAATATTATATTGGGATTATAAACTTGGTGTTTGTTCCTACAGTGCACAAATGAGATTTAATGCTATACAAACTGGTTAAATTAATGATGTAAAAGAGCATAAATAATCCCTTAGCCTTACATTTTTTAAAGCTTGTTTGAAACTGAGTATTAACTTCTGTTCTTCAGTCTTAAACTTCATCCAAGAATATGAACTATGTAGAATAAGAATGGGTATAGCATATACCTGTAATCCCAGCTATTTGAGAGGCAAAGGGAGGATGAAGAGAACTTGGATTCTTTTCACTTGGGGTGTGGTAAAGCAGTAGAACGAAAGCTCCAGGTCCTGAGTTTAATCCCCAGTACTGAAAAAAAAAAATGGTCTTCCCCCTCAGGTATGGAAAACTGTTTTAACACTGTCAGCTAACAGTTCTTACTAAACAGTTGTTTTATTATAGTAAGTTCTCAAGTAGAAGACAGTTAACATATTGAACTCAATCTCTCTTTAGAAAAAAATCATTCAAAATTTTAAAACAATCCATGTCCTATTCTTGGGATGCTACCCATTCAGCACAGTCTCATGTTTCTATCTATGCTCTCGCAGAATAATTATTGATATTAAATGTCCCCGAGGCCCTCGGAGCTCCATATTATGATCTTGAATGGAAAGATGAATCCTGAGAGGTAATCTAAACTTCCACACGTTCCTGATAGCTGTACCCCCTCAAAGGCACTCTGAGAAAGTACTTTACAACAAAACACATGAGAGCCAGCAAGACTGCTAGATTACTGTGACTGGTGGGAAGCCTTGCTCTTCCTCACCTCAAACATCTGGGTGTCCACCCAGAGAACTGTCATTTTTCAACATGTTTGGCATTTTGCTTACAAAATTACATACTACATACTAATCTGAAGATTTAATTTTTTTCTAATTAAAATGAATTGGTTTAAATATGTATGGTGGCATATGTCTGTAATCCCAGCTACTGGAGAGCATAGAGTTCAAGGGTGTCCCAGGCAAAGTTAGCAAAACCCTGTCTCAAAAACAAAATAACAAACAAGGATTTGGGGTAGTGGCTTAAGTAGCAAAGTGTTTGCCTAGCATGCACAGGGCCCTGGGGTTAATCAACAGTACCACAAAAAAAAGTCTGTGTATGTGGCTGAGATGTGTGCTTATCAATTAGCACAGGTTCTTCAGTACCATTTGTAATCAGGGTCATGTTAAGTACTGCATGTAATCAACTAATTTGTATAGAGTGCTACTGTGGGCCAGACAATCTTCCACGCAGTGAAAATGTGTCAAGGAATTAGACAAGGCTTCTCTTTCTAGTAAGAAGAGACAAACAATAAGTGCCTCCCAATCAGAAAATGTAAATAATAATGAACATAAAGCAAGTGGAGGAAATGGAGAAGTCTTTTGAAATTGTGGAAGCCTTAGAAGAACTGAGTGAAGAAAAAAAAATCAGCATGCAAAGAGATTGATTCTATGCAGAAGGCAGAGCTCAGTCCCTAAGGCAAGAACTAGCTTTAGTGTGTCTTAATAATAGGAAGAAGGCCCATTAGCTGGAGATAGCAATCGGGAGGTCAGAGGTCATCAGGTGCCACAGAGATTAGGGTCTCAGAGGCCAGAGTAAGGAGAGTGAATTTATTCTAAACGTAATGGGACCATATTAGAAGATTATATGAAAGGCTGTGATCTGAGCTTATATATGCTTTGAAAAGATCACTGGCTGCTGTGTACATAATAGGCCATAAGGGACTGTGGCAGAAACCTCTACTTGTCACCAAATATCCATTTACTCAGTAATTATTTAGATTTTAGTTAAGTACACAATTGCCCAAAAGAAAGACTGTATTTTCCACCTTCCTTAGGGCTAGGTGTGGCCACATAACCATGTCTAGCCCATTAGATGTAAGTACAAAATAATGTGCACTTGGGAAATTGTACCTTGTTAAACTTTTTATTTTGGATAATTGTAGATTCTTGGCAAGTGTTGTGAGAGTTGTTTGGGGGCTTTTTTCTGTGGTACTAGGGATTGAACTCAGGGTCTTAAGTTTGTGAGGCAAGCAGTCTACCACATGGAACCACTTACCCACTGGGCAAGTGTTTTTAAAGGACGGGGGAGATAATGCCCTGTATCATGCTTGCTAAATAGGATGCAGTTATGGTAACTGTAGAGAAAGTTATATTAGCTGTCACTTGAACATCCATATTGAATCCATATTGACCTTGGAAATAAAAATCACATGTAACTGAATAAGAAAAGGAGCTAAGGTCCCTGGTAAGGATATAGCCTCACTATGGCATTAGACTGCTTATCTCTAGTTTGTTAACATGTCAGAGAAATACAACTTCTATCCTGTTGAAACTGTTCATTTAGGTTTTTCTATTACTCTTGCCAGTCCTAATGCTAACAGTGAAAGTAACAAAGGTGGATAGAGAGTGGATGAACAGTCACAGAAGTGGGAAATGTGAATGCTGTCAAGAAAATTAATCTGAGGGTTGGTGGAGTGGCTTAAGTGGTAGAGTGCCTGCCTAGCAAGCATGAGGCTCTGAGTTCAAACCCCAGTGCCAGAAAAAAAAAAAGAAGAATATTAATCTGGAAAAGGTCCTAGAGAAAATAGGTTTTAGACAGTAAGGGTATTTTCGAGACTCAAAAAGAGATCCATGGCAGTGCAGATGACCAC